TTTTAAAATAGTGCAGATTTTTTAATACGAAGTCAGTGGCAATTTCGTAATTAATCTGAAAAATCTGACAACCCAATTCTTAGTAAAATGATCATAAAATCCTCATACGATGTTCAAATCGACGATTCTTTTTGCTATGACTCCGTAACTACGATATGGATCTAATGCTTCAATCGAAACATAAATCGGATCTCATTTGTTTAATGTGATACCATTTATGCTTGAAGAAACGACGTCGAAACATAAGAAAAACGAGTGCAACATTGTCCAAACCTATCTGAAACTCACCCGAGCCTTCGGGACCCCGTACGAACATACCAACAAGTCCTATAACATAACACGGACCTACTCGAGGCCTCAAATCACGCATAACAACATCAAAACGACGAAATGCACTTCAAATCAAACTTAATGAGCTTTCAAACTTTCCGCTTGCAAAAAGTCGCGCCGAAACATATCAAATAAACTCGGAATGAACTCAAATTTTGCACATAAATCCTAATACATCATATGAAGCTACTTGTGCCCTCAAACTACTAAACAAAGTGTAAATACTCAAAACGATCGATCAGATCGTTACATAATGTAATATATTGGTTTGGTTTTTTAAAGCAAGTAACCGACTCGAATCAAGCCATGGACACTTTGGATTTTCTTTTTTGTTTTTAACTTTATCTTTTTAGTTCTCACTTCTATAATTAGCTTTTGAAATTCAGTAAAGTATAATGTGCATTATTTTAACATTTTATCAGAGCAATACATATACAGTTGTATTCGAATAATTTCACATTTTTAAAGTGAGCTGTTGTGTTCTTATATGGTATTAGGAATTCATACCATTTATATTCGCTTTTCGGGTTGACTTAGACTAAAGTCTATCATTTTTTACTGTCAACTTTGATCTAAAAAAAGTAACACTTTTAAAATACAACTTATGAACTTTATCTAGTTTTTTTCTTCAAAAAAAAAATGAAAATTAAACAGCTTTAGATATGTGTTCGTTAATTTTCAGTTTTATTAGATTTTCAGGATACAAAGAAATTCTGATTTAAAAAATATTCTGATTATAATATTAAAAAAATCTGTAATATTATTAAGCAAATTCAAACTATAGAATATTACTTTTTTTTTAGCAAACAGGAATATTATCTTACTTATGTTGTACCTACTTCTCATAATTCAATCTCTTTTAATTTGATAAATCTACAGTAAATTTGTTTTAGCATATTTTTCTACACCAAAATTTCATGTCTTCATTAGTTTTCCAAAATTGTATAGAGGTAAAAAAAGGATAAACTTTCAAAACTAAAACAACAAAAATTTTAGAAAGTTAAATGAAGTTCAATTCGTTGACCTACTTAAATAAATAAATAAAAAGATCAACATACTGAACCATCAATTAACATTGGGCAAAGATGACTTTAGCCCGCGCCAGAAACTATTTACATTCGTTAACCGTAAAAGTGTATAAAATTTATAAATATATATATATTTCGGTTATTATTTTGAGAGCGGCTATACAATGTTATTTTTTCATTAACACATTATTAGTGCGTGTTCAACTGGACTCGTGACTACTTAATCCATAACTTGTTTTGATACGCAATTGAAAAAAACAAATACAAATAATATTTTTAAAATAAAAAGTATGAAAGAATAATATTGAATTTTGTGAACGTAATAATTATCCCGCTCTTTTCTTCTAAGGTAAAAACGTTTTTTCACTTAAGAATAAGAGGAGATTCTGTCGCTCTTTTGACAATCTCTTTCTGATTACATTCGAAATAATTTTCTCTTATTTTAGGTGTATAAAACTTACCGCTGTTCATCAAAACGCATTTCATTTCTAGTCTTACAAAATCTTTCTCGTAGTTATTGTCAATCTTGGAGTACAACTCTCTATCATAACTAGAGATTCATAGATTTTTTCGTAGAACCGTTTCCCATCGGAGCCCCGGATAGAAGATCTTTCTATTTTGGTGGGTTTGATAAGAAGATTTACTTTGCTGGTGAGATTTTCATTGTTAAATTTCCTTGAATTTTACTTATACAATGTGTTATCTATGTATTTGATAATGTATGCAATGAAATTGAATAAAATCAGCATTGAGAATGTATGACGAAATATTTTTTAGGTAAAAAGGTTCATTTCAATTCTCTTGTTTTAATTTATGTGCTGAAATGCTATATGACTCACTAAATCTGCATATTAGTTTCAATAGATTGATTAAGGTATCTTTTTATTTTTATCAAATAAATCGACTGATGTTTTTCACTTGTGCACTTATAAGTTGCTTGACCTAGGGGTGTCAATGAATATTTAAAAATCGATCGAACCGTATCGCACTGAATCCATTTTTTGATTTTTTTTTAATAAAACCGCAGATTTTTTATATAAATCTATAACCGTACCAATAATTAGGGAAGGTTTTTTATTTTATAAAAATAAATTGAAAAAATACCGAACCGTACCGAATAAATTTACATGTGAAAAATGTATTTATATATCGAGTTTAAAAATAATAAAGCATTAAATTTCTCCTTGGGTCTTGAAATTATGAAAACAGTTTCAAGCCAACAAGTAATTAAACTCAAAATTCTAATTCTCAAACCTATTATGCTACTCCTACTGAAATTAAATTATTTCTAACATATTTACGAGCAAGACACGAAGTATTCTGGCGATTATGAGTAACAAATTATAATGTATTGAATATGTTTACTTTCGTATGATTTAAATATCAAATAAATCGACTGATGTGCTGAAATGCTATATGACTCACTAAATCTGCGTATTAGTTTCCATAGATCGATTAAGGTATCTTTTTATTTTTTATCAAATAAATCGACTGATGTTTTTCACTTGTGGTTGTGGACTTATAAGTTTCTCGACCTAGGGATATTAATGGATATTTAAAAATGACTAAATCGATCGAACCGTACTGTACCGAACCGATTTTTTGGTACTTTTTACATAAAATCGTAGGTTTTTATATAAATCTATAACAATACCGATAATTAGGATAAGTTTTTTATTTTATGAAAATAAATCGAAAAAATTCCGAACCGTACTGAATAAATTTACATATGGAAAATATATTTATATATCGAGTTTAAAAATAATAAAGCATTAAATTTTTCCTTGGGTCTTGAAATTATGAAAACAACTTCAAGTCAACAAGTAATTAAACTCAAAAAACTAATTCCCAAACTTATTATGCTACTCCTACTGAAATTAAATTATTTCTAGCATATTCACTAGTAAAATACAAAGTATTCTAGCGATTATGAGTAGAGCAAACTATAATGTATAGAATATGTTTCCTTTTGTATGATTTAAATTTATCTTTTTGAATATTTAATCTTCTATGGGCTTTATTCTTAAGTTCGAGCTTGGTTAATATCTTTTCACTCGTGTGATTTATATTTTCTTTGTCTTTGCTTAGTTTCTTTTGCGTTGTTGTAGAGTAGTTGATGGATCTATACTCTAGTCATCTTTCATGTTTTCTTAATTCATCACTCTATAAACAGTAAAAATATTTAAAGAGTTTTGCTAAGTCCTATAAAAGTACATATGCTATTTTATATTTTCATTCTACTTCTACTAGTGACTTTTACATGATATTTAAAAAAATACAGAAAATTACCCTATCCGTACCGAAACTGAAGAGAAACCATAGGACGGTTTCGGTTTCGAAAAGTCTAATTTTAGTTATACATAATAGAATAACCAAAAAATTGATATGTCACAACTTTTATAAAATAACCACCTGAACCGTTGACACCCCTAGCCTCGTCCTGCCTAAGTTTGACTATGTTTAGCGGTTTACAAATTACATATTTACATATATAGGTCAAAATTAACAGCCATAACTTTGACTTTATATAGCAAAATTTTTTAAAGTAATTAGGTGGAGTTCGAAACTTAGCTATGTATAAATTTTAAAACAATTATTAGGTCAGTTACAATTATATCTTCACATATCCAAATAAAAAGGTACTGCATTCAACTAAACATGAAGTTTAAAATGTTAATTTGGCTTAAACATCATATTAATGGTAAGTGAAAAATATTAATAATAGGCAAAAAGTTAGTTTGACAAATAAAGTATAACATCAAAGTTTACAATTTGAATTGTTAAATGAATTTGAATTCTTGAAGCAATAAATATTCTATAGAATAATTTTATTAATCATACTCTGTCAAATATTTTTGAAATTATCAAAATGAAAAGAGTGTCATATAAATTGATATAAATAAATTTTATTTATTTGTGTATTTACGGAAATTGGATAATTGATTAGCCTAGTCAACACGCAGAACTTACTCACCACTCCAAAAATCCACTCTTCAATTGTACAACAGTTAAACCTCTCTATAACAGTTTCTTTTGTTCCAGATATTTCTGGATGTTATAGCGAATTTTTTTTATAGAAAACATATATTATAACAGAATATGAAATTTGGTTCTGGGAAAGCTTGACCTTTATAGTAAAGTATTGTTATATAAGGATGTTGTTATAAAGAGGTCTGAGTGTATGTCCCTAGGGTACCAAGTAAATCAAAAGGCAAGAAAATGAACCAAAATAGAGCAACAAACTGTAAACAATTTAATTGTGAAACGCATTTTTCTATATTTTGATTGAATTCGAGAAATAAGAATACCCAAACTAAAAACTCTAAACTCTGTATACCAATTTTGCAAAATTTTGATTAACCAGCTGACACTTATTATAGTGTCAGCTGCTCTCTCTTTCTATCTCTTCAGTTACCAATCCAATAAACTTTGCATCAACTGCATTTATAAAAACAAGAATCATTGTGAAAAGAGTAACAAATCACCATTTATTATGTTTCATGCATGCATTTCTAATTCTGGAAAATTTTGCATACAACAACTGTTATTTCACCTCCTTATGAGTTATCTCCATTTGTTTCTTGTCAAAGACAGGAGGAAAAAGGAAAAGAAGTCAAAACAGATTTTTTTATACCTGAAAAAATGGTTAGAAGATCAAGAAAACAGAAGAAACAGGAAAGCAGTTCTAGTTCTTCTTGGAGTCCAGAATCTTCAGACAGTAGTACTGACTTGCATTATAGTGCAAAGTTACCAAAGAAAAAGGCAAAAAAAGACATTTTGGCTAAGCCCATAAATGGCTATCTCAGTGAAGATGACACAAATCTTGCAAGTTCTTCAATGAGGACAAGAAGAAAACGAAAGTGCCAATCGAAAAAGGAGCAATATGTTATAGATGAACCATCTTCATCTGAGAATGATCAAAGTCCTGATGTTTTAAGTGAGGAAAAGTTTAAATGGGGAAGAAGGAAAAGAGCAAAGAGAGGTAGAACTAGGAATTCAAGAAAAGGAAATGACCAAAGACAGAGGACAACAACAATACTTTCATGGCTAATAGATTGTAAGGTAATTCAAGAAAATGCAGAAGTTTTTGTCATGGAAGAAGGGGAGCCAAAAACAAAGCAGGGGAAAATAAGGAAAGAAGGTATACTTTGTTCATGTTGCAATTATGTTTTCACAGTGGCAGACTTTTGTACTCATGCTGGAGCTAACAACAACAATAACATACCCAGTGTAGTCTCACGAATGGGGTCTGGGGAGGGTAGAATGTACGCATACCTTACACCTACCTTTAAGAAGGCAAAGAAGTTATTTCCGTTAGACCCTCGGCTCGGTACTCATGCTGGAGGAACATCTAGTAAACCTTATGAGAAAATTTTCATTGCTGAAACATGCTCTTCTCTCTTGTCTTGCATGATTCAAGCTTGGGATCTTCCAGAAGAACGTAATTATCGTCAATTTAATTTGATCGAAAACGAGGATGCTAGTGACTCTTGTGATGATGCTTGTATGATTTGTGCTGATGGAGGTGTTCTAATGTGTTGTGACAAATGCAGCTCTACATATCATCATGATAAGTGCTTGGGAATGAAGGTGATAAATCTAACTCTTTCATTACATAGTTATCTCTAAAGGGCAGTCTGGTGCACTGAGCTCCCCCTAAGTGCAGGGTTCGGGGAAGGATTGTATCATATAGGATCTATTGATGCAACCTTTCTTTTTCTATAAAAGGTTGTTTCCATGAATTGAACGTGTGACCTTCTGGTCATACGACAACAACACTTTAGCAGTGCGACAAGGCTCCCCTTCACTACAAAGCTAAATTAGGTTTAATCATATTGACACTGATAAATTTTGGAGTTTCTGTATTGCAGGAGGTTCCTAAAGGGTTGTGGTATTGCTCATTTTGTGTCTGCAAATTTTGTGGTGTTCCTGCTAATGAAAATGATTATTTGCTGAAATGTTCTCAGTGTGAGAAAAAATGTAAGAAATGTTTTCTGGTTCCTGTCTGTACTCTTTTGAGTTTCTTGTTCCCTGGTAAAAACTATTTTTCTCTAGGAATTGCAACGTAAAATAAAACAATATCCCTTATTCTGCAGATCACTGGGAATGCCATCTAACCAGAGTGAAAATCAGCATAGACATTAACAACCCCCCACAAGGCACATTCTGTGACAATAGCTGCAATAAGGTAATACTCTCAATATCCGAAAGCAGTTAATTTTGATAGAGTTGTACTTTTGAAACTTTATTTTTTCCTATAAAGGTGGGGTCTAAGTAAGTTTACCTCCCACCAGCACAGG